CAGCAATCGCTCGCTGACAAGACTGTCGATGTCTCGGCTCTTTTAGTAAGATGTAAGTAAAATTTATACGAAATTTAATTGCTAAGTTGGTCCTTAGAGGTCCTGTTGCTTAGAAATGTTTAGAGTTCCTGGCACGGCACTGACTGAGATTCCGACAGATTCGCACTGGTCCCAGAGCAGCTGCACCATGACCACGAAATGGGCTCATTTCAATCCCGAACTAAATTTCACAGGTCCCAGGAACCTTGGTGACTCAGCATTCAGATCCTGTTCCCAACCTGCGATCAACTTAAAGGTTTCAAATTCAGCCCTCAGTTGGACACAGTTCTCAGTACGGCCCGTGAAAAATTGTTTTTTGGCGGGAAAATTGCTAACTCGGGAACCAGAAAAGCCAGAAAGCTGAAATTTTAAAGAAAGGTCCACTCATATCCTGAAACAAGCTTACCAAGTTCTGGACAGATCCGCGGGAATCTCCCGAACAGTGATCCTAGGTCCATTCCGTGTAGCGAGTTGGCTCAGATTCACTTTGGTATAAAAACAGATTGGTCCAAAACCCGAACCAATTCATCCAGGCCCGGAACGGTTGGCAATGAGGGCAGTGTTAACCGTTGGAATCAAGCTTACGGGATTTGTTTTTCCAGTTCCAACTCTGGGATATTTTTGATTCGAATTTTGCTGACAGAAAAGCCCTTCTTTGCTCTCCCAAACTTTAAAAAAGCTTAAGTACCAAAGCAGATTCGCAAGTACTAAAGCAGGTTCACTTAATTCCTCCAAAAGGTTGTCTTGGATCCAAACATTGTGTCGCCAAAAGCTGTAGCTTCGAAAAAAAAAAAAATCGCTCTGAACTCTATTTGTATGCATCTCATTGGGACAAAACATTGCTCTTCAGAGTTTTTTTATAAATTTTGACTTGAATCTTAGTCTTTGTTTCCAACTTTTCCGCTAAATAAGTTAAGAACTCAAATCCACTTGCCCTCCATACTCGCTCACATTGAGAGATAGGGACATAAGGACATAGCCCGAATGAAAGTTAGTACCAACAGTATCCACCCGCTGGCAAGGCTATTGATGGCTTCCTCTTTGAAGGGTTGCTCAGAAGCAAGTTGATAGCGAGTTTAACTCCCTAGCATGTGCCAGTACCAATTTACCATCGAAACGAATGAACGAATCGTAGAGGGAATCCACAGCGGCGGATTCGAACTCTCGACCTTTTTTGCAGTGCTACTTTCCAGTGCGTGGCAATCAATAATGAATAAAATTTGATTGATTACAATCATACTAAGGTGCCATTATATTTGTTAATACTAAGCAGATAAAATACAACTGGATAAATCGAAAAATAGAATTTTCCAATGAGTTTTTTCCTTTTTTGAATAATTTGCAATTACAATCAAATACTAAGACGCCATTATATTTATTAATCCTGAGCAGATAAAATACAGTACGATCGGAGAATATAAATAATAGGATTTTCCAGAGAGTTTTTCGGGGGTTTTTTTTTCAGAAGAAACATTCATCCAACATTTGGAGGACCATGGCAATCTTGTTCATGCCCTGCACAGGATAGCGAGGCTAGGGTTGGTTTTTTGGTTAATTCCTGTTTTTTTTTTCGCGATATTTCGGCATTGTTTTTACCGATTGCTTTCAGGAAGTACCGTTGTAGAAATTTACTCGATGCTTTTTATGCGTTTTTTCCATCTATGCAACGCAAAAACACATATTGTCGGGGGTTTTCTGTTTGTGTGTGTGTTTTTCTGTACCGATTTTCTTCTCCTAAAAGAATTACTGGCTCAACAGCTTCCCCAACAATATTTTGGCGAGATTTTAGCTACTTGGAGATTTAGCGGTGTATGTTGAACGTGTGCTTCTAAGCTTTGACACTTTCGGACAATGTTGTGGCACCTTGCTGTCTGAGCGACTATTCAAAAATTAAAATTATTACAGGTGCCGAAGGAATATCGGGTGTTATCTTTGATTGGGCATCGACTGCCACCGTTCTCGCTGAGAACGCTTTCTGAAGACACACTTTTCTATTTTTTCTATAATTTCCCGGGCGAAGAATACCAAATTGGTGCTGCAAACGAACTGTATGTTTTTTTTCTTCTAATTTTAAGGTGTGGATATTGCTTATTTTCGTATCTTTCATCAACTTGAAAACAGTGATTTTTCGCTTTTATTTTTTTTTGAGGAGGAAGGAAAGGAAGTTTTTTTGCCTTTTGGAACTTTTTTCTCGATACCATAATTCTCTGGGGAAGGAATTTGGGGTTCAGTTGGATAATGCAACAAACGGCGGGTAAAAGTAAGGAACGGACGAGAACTGGTTTTGCTTGCTAATCTTCGTGCTCCGTTGTCCTGCATTTAATGTATGTAAATGTCCCGCCTTGAGAATCAAGCCATTTGGGAATGTAGTTTTTTGTTTTTTTTTTTTGTAATTTTATATCCTAGCGAGTACGATCGGAAAATCGGATTTTACAAAAATCGTTGAATTTCACAGATTTTCCATCACACAGGAATTTCTTTCGCTAGATATAGCGCGGTCCCTGGCTTTTAAGCGAGGATAGGAACTTATGGAAATTTTTTTGGTGTGAGGGGAAAGTTTAGTGTATAGAGCGAATAAGTCTGTTTTACATTCAGCTATTACCGGGACTGGCGGTATCACAAAAGTCTGCATGTCTGGATGATGCGATCACAGCGTGGATACGTCAAGGAGCATGGACCAACCTTTGAAAAAGGCACATACCTCGTCTTCGATCATACACACTGGCGCAAAGTAAGTTTTTCTTTGGGCACCTTTTTTCCTTAGATTTTCTAACAGTGTCAATTCTGCTTTCAACCCATTCCGCTTTTCGCTCCCTTACTCTCCAAGAGTGCTCAGAATACTCCTGCGCACCTCAAATCTCTCACAAAGAGTGGATACTGTTCATTGCTTGGCGCATTCTCGGGGACCTTTCCATAGTATCCTCTTTCAGTATGGGAAGCGAATATCATATGTTACGAGTCAGAATATATAATATCTCCACTCATGGAGAGGGGAATTTAATTTTTCAAGGGCATCCATCCTTTACTCGCTTCCTACCCACCAATCATACCTAATTTCATGCTCAAAATGAAATGAGTTTTAGGTACAAGTAGAGCTGATGATCGAATATCGGGAACTTGAAGATCGACCAGAATTGCCTCACTATCTCCGCTTGCTCCTCACTCAACAACTATTCCAACAATGGGATCCGTTTTGCTTCGATCAGAGTAATCGCTTACGAACTTTTAAATGAATGCTTTTTGCTACAAAAATTTTTTCCTGGGAAGGAACTAATGCGTTGGGATAAGACAAATAATCGGTGTGGGTATCCCATGTTGGTGATGTTACTAGAATGCGCAAATATGCCAGATTTTCGGTCTTGTGCTTAGATAGGATCAGTAGCGAGCAGCTAAATCACTTACGCTTCGTGAAAAATACACTCATTTTGAGCAGCTCTCGTGAATAAATGGGAGGCTGCAAAAGCTTAACATACTTGTTATAAAGATGTGGATCTAAAAAACAGTGCACCAGGACGGAGGAAATACATTAATATGCCCAAAATCTGATTGCACGCGGATGTTGCTGACTTGGAAGAAGTTGACAGTTAGGTCTACTGTTGCCAGGAAATACCTCAAAATCTCCAGCCGAAAAACTATTACGTCTAAATAATGCCAATTGATGCAGATTTAATAGCTTTGTTGATTTCTTTGTAGCATCAGCCTGGATGGATCTAGCGTTCTAAATACTGTTGTGTTGAAAGCAGTGACATAGGGATACGAGAATGGATTATAAGATTGGTGTAGCGGACTTTTTTGATTTTTAAACTGATTTATCACAAATTAACACTGTTTTTTGTTTCTGGCTCCTGCTCAAGTGCTATAAATATGAAGAGAAGTTGAGACAGAGTTCTAAATTCCAACTTCTTTACACTTTTCACGATTTGGTTCCCGTAAATCCACTATTGTAAAAAAAGTTCACAAGTAATGCATACACATTCTGTCGTGTGATACCTTTCCCGCACGCATCCTATATTTTTATGCGTTTTGTGCTGTGCAACAGCTGTCAAAAAAAATATTATTACTGGGTTGTCTGTGTATGTGTGTATGTATATATGTATGTATGTATGTGTGTATGTGTGTGTCTGTCTGATGCATCTTGTTACTGCTGGAAGATGAAGCTTATGACATTACTCAGGAGACACACAATTTGTGGTTTTTCCAAAAAGTACAGAAGAAGCAGCAGTACTTAGAGGGAAACTTGGGTACCACACGAGAAAGTAAAATCCGACGGCAAGATCAGAGTTTTCGACTGATACTCAATTTGCTTACAGTATAATGGTACCCCGACATGTCGAGCCTCTCCCCTGTCCTTTTTTTGTCTCCCTTCTCGTCCTGTCTTCTCAAATAATAATAATTCATGAAGAGTAGTTACTCATGATTATAATCTATCAACTTACGATGCGCTTGTGCGGATACGCTTCATCCTGAAAATTTTCAAGATTAGCGAAATAGCTCGGATTAGATGGGATCCAGAGAAAAGGAAAGTTGAACGAAATAGTGCAGTAATGGAGGAATAGCAAGCATATAAAATATTCTGGAAACGTGGGAGGTTACGTTATATCACCCACGTCGTGTTTGGTTGCATTCCAAGGTGGCAAATCAGTTTGAATTAGTTGGAATATGGCAGGTGTGTGTATGTGTGTTTGTATGTATGTGTGTATGTCTGTATGTGCGTGTGTGTGTGTGCGTGCGGATGTGGGTGCGGTGTACGTGCCCATTTTGATGTTTCGTGTGTGTGTTGCGAATGAAGACCGCTTTTATAAATGATGTGGAGGGAGTCAAGCCAATCTTTTTCACTATCTTCGGATCCTTCGAATCGTGACGTGTTATCCACTACACCACCGGTCCTCGTGCTTCGTAACTCAGACATCAGATGCAGGGCAGCTACCAAAAATCCATCTAGGCTTACAGTGACTGGAGGGCGGGGGTATAGGGCTTTAGGTTGGGGTTATTTTTTTGCCCAGGAGTGGCTTAGGTCTTTAGGGTCATAATAGAGGGATCGGAGTTGACTATAAGAGAGCTGAAACCCCAGCTGAAACCAGAAATTTAAAACAGCGGCGGAGTTTGTGGGAAACAGTGCCTGTATGAATTTCTCATGCTCAACCTGAATGTTGATGCTGAGGAGTAGTTAGCAGTGTTAAGAGCCATACCTAAGCATACCTGGGCAAAAAACCGGTTCCACGCCTTCATAAATCGAACCCGAACGCGAAAATAAGCATAGATTGCTTGACTGAGCCGAGCCGAATTTCAGTAATTGTCAAATGGAGCAAATATATCCAGAGGGCACCGAGAGGATATCTGAGATAGTGTTTCTTTCGAAAGAGGAAACGAAAGTCAAGTCCGTCGGCAGCAGGCTGACCATCAGACGGTGCAGCATTGGTCAAAGTAACTGTGGAACTAAGCAATTTGCCTTAATCCTACAAAACCCCCAGTTGCTTTCACAGTGAAAATAGCAAGGAAGTGACGAGGGGGCAGAAGGTGCTAAAAATCTCGACTACTGCGAGCATAAAACTGTTTTGTTAGCAGAAGATTTGCTTAGGTTTTTCAACGGGCAGGCTACTTTTTTCCACACCAGTCAGTACACCAACCTGCGTAATAGGCCTATTGGCAGATCCGGGGGAAGGAGGGTTGGGGGGGGGGGATGGGTTTTTCGGTCC